TTTTAATAATTTACAGATTTTCCTTTATTATACTTTCCAGCTAACTCTACGGAAAAAGTTTACTATACATATTCCTAATCATTAACTAAAAATTGTGTTATTAGATAACAATAATTAAATTCTCAGCCAAAAAGCGTGATTATAAGCCAATAATCGCTCAAGGATTTCCAATAGAACGTTCCAGAATCGATATCCATTTTGGTAATGTGCCCGCTAATGCAAAAGTTACACCCATAGTCGTATGTGTAACATCAAGTTCTTTTATAGGGGTACCCCTTTTATATCTTTACGCGTCGCGTTTAAAAGTCAATTTACTTATTGATGCTCTTATTGATCTTATAGATAATCTTCCTTTATGGCTAAAAACAAACGACTTTCTACTTGGTTACGCTCCGGCGTTATTGAACAAAACATTAAAGACACTTTAAAGTCAACCTTAGACAACAAACTATATAGCATCTGCCCGTTAAATATTTCTCGATCTTCGTTACGCGACTCAATACATAATAATTTGTATCATGATGAAGCCTTTCGTCAAAATCTGGCTCAAGAAAATATTTAATTGGTTTGAGGCATCCTCTCAAAAGACTAGGTCAGCTGGGCCAGTTGCGATTTTCAAGAAGACTAGGTTATATTCGTCTGTTGTTGGGCTACAAGATTCAAGTAGTGCGACTATCAACAATTACAACGATAATGGTAACAAACGTACTCGTGAGGTCTCTCCGTCAGTAAAGCAAGCATTTTCTTTTACTGCTAGCGAACAAGGAGCGTTCGTTGAACCGCTTCTTAATTTAGTTGAGAAAGCGCTTTATAAATTTCTTGTTGATAGTGAAAGTTTTATTCCCCTCGATGTGGTGAAATCCTTCTGTGCCAAACGACACTCTCCTATTAGTACTGACTTTGGGGACGCCGATTTGCTATGTATGATAAAATTTTATTATAGAGAATATAAAGCTTTTGTGAAACAAAAAGAGCCATTATTTCATGGTCGATATAAAGCAAATCCCGTTGAGTTATTGAGCAATTTTAAGAAAAATGTGCGTAACAAAATGGCACACGGAATTGTCGTTGATGAAAAAGGTCGATGGAGCGATCATGAACTTCAGCACATCTCTCTTCTAGCTTGTGAGGTTGTAATTTGTCTTGGTAAGTTTTTCTTAAGAAAATAACTTGACTCCATCTAAAAACATAAACTGAGCTTTTTATATTTGACGTTAGGTGGAGACTGCAAAGAAGCATCGTCCAACAAAGAAAATATTGATAACGAACTAGTGCAACGATGGATCAATAAAGCTGATAAAGAACACTCTAGGAAGAATTAATGAAATAATATTTAATTATCCTGATATGTAAACCGGTTGACTGGGAACTTGATATAAATGGAAATAATAATTGCCGATGGGAGTGCCAGTTCTTAACGAATATCGATATTCCTCACCCACCACAAAAAAGGAAACTTGACGATACAAATTTGGGAAATATTACAGAATTTGTTCTTGATATTCTCGAGGAAACTGAGGAGATAGAGAAGGGGGATAAGCGGAAGATTCTAGGATTGGCATTGAATGAAGACGAATATCTAATAAAACTCTGGAGAGCAATCAAAATAGATGAAAAACAAGTGCAAATTCGTAAATTTATCCAATCTGTGAATTTGATGTTTGACATTGTAAGTATTTGACGTTGCAAGCATGATTTTTCTTGTATAATAAATTCATATTGTAAACTAACTGAGCTAACTGTTTTATCTACAGAACTTGAAATCAAAAACTCAGGTATTAGTATATTTGTATAAATGGGAATGTGGTATGGGAAATAAGTTCTCACGTAGTCACGTCCAAAGTCGGCGTGGGGGCGTAGCTTATTCGGTGAGCAATTCAGTTTGCTCAACGGGTAAGTTTAAATCGGCATTGGCTGAGAGATTATATTGTGGTTTCTCAGTCTCTGTTGGACTCGTTGGCTTAACTGAGGATAAACGAAGCTACTTATTTTGTGTACTACTGTACCTGCAAACCTTTTTGCTGATTTATGTTAGCATTTCTAACAATTTATAACTTCACTTTTCAGGATGTGAATGCTAAACAGCCTCTTGAAACGATGAAATCTGCTAATGATACCCAATAATTAATTATTACATTGATGTCAAATAGGTTACTTTTAGCTCGAAACATTTTATTATTAATAAGATTGAATCACTTTTTTATCTATAATGGAATAGAAAATTATATTGTGGGTGAAATGTTGTGTCATGTGATGGTGATGTGACTGAGTAGACACGGTCTTGAAGTTTAGCACTTTTTTTATATGTAGTATTGTAGGTTCGAAGAACCAATAAGGCATGTGCTTATTAATAATTAATAAAGTTTACCCATATTGGGCCTTGTAATGTATATTTGATCTACGTAATTTTTCAGAAAAAATATGTATTAACCTAATTTATACAAATTCCGGTTTTATTGTATTTAAAGTTAATATGCACAGATTGAACAGTGATCCAAAGGATTGAGTCTCTGATTTTGTATAAGTTTCACCTGTATTACACACTATAAATATAAACTAGGAGAGTTGTTTCAGGAAATCAGCATTTTACAGAAAATAGTGTCAGAAAATGTTGGCCCAGGGCACATGTTGAACAAAATGAATCTTCCAACAAAGCTTGTTTATGTTGGCAATTGGTTAGAATGTGATCTAGCTTATGCATATGACTATTATTTGGACTTGAAAGCAGCTTTGTTAAATACATTGTCAGATTTCGGTTAAATTATTGTTTATCATACGATTTTTCGGTCGTTCACGTCTTGTTCTTTTGCATCCATTTATAGTTGCTTCAGCATCTATCGTACAATATTTCTCATTGTCAACATACGATTTTATAATATCGAGGTTTTTATTTGTCATAAGTTGAAATAAAAATATTTATCTGCAACATTTCGTTATACCGAATCCCTCGCTATACCGAATC